TCCTCGCCACTGTTGTCACTGACCCTACTTTTGAGTCCGCTGCTGCACCTGCCCTCGTTACTGAGCTGCTTGACTTTGCTGCTGCCTGTCGTCTAGACTACGCCACTGCTCTTGTTGCCAGTCCTCCGTCCGTCGGGGGTGAGTGTGCTCTTGGCACGGACGTTCTTGAGGACAGGCAGGAGGACTTTGAGTGTCTTGCAGCTGCTGTACCTCGTTTCGCGTCCACGCTGCTTGCCCCTAAGGGAGACCCGTATGCACCAGACGTCCCGACCCCGCGCTCTTACGCAGAGGCGATTACGGGTCCTTACTCCTCTCTGTGGCAGGCAGCCATGGATGCCGAGATGGCATCCTGGAAGTCCACAGGCACCTACGTCAACGCAGTTCCCCCGTCTCGGGCGAACATAGTCGATGGCATGTTGATTTTCAGGGTGAAGCGGCCGCCGGGTTCTCCGCCTACCTTCAAGGCGCGTTACGTTGCTAGAGGCTTCAGTCAGTCACATGGGGTTGACTACTTCCAGACCTTCTCCCCCACCCTGAAGATGACTACTCTTTGAGTGTTGCTGCACGTCGCTGCTCAGCGTGACTACGAGTTACACTCTCTGGACTTCAGCACAGCTTTCTTGCAGGGCAGCCTGCACGAGGAGATCTGGCTGCGCCGCCCACCTAGCTTCACTGGGTCGTTTCCTGCAGGTACCCAGTGGAGCCTCTGGCAGCCAGTCTACGGTCTCCGCCAGGCGCCTCGCGAGTGGCACGATACACTGAGGACTACACTTGCGGCTCTGAGGTTTACTTCTTCTACTGCTGACCCGTCGCCGTTTCTACGCACCGACACGTCGCCGCCTCCGTTCTACGTCCTAGTGTACGTCAACGACGTGGTCTTTGCCACTGCTGACACTAAGGCCCTGACCCTTGTGAAGTTGGAGCTGTAGAAGAGACACACTTGCACTGACCTGGGTGAACTGCACAGCTATCTTGGCTTGCAGATCACTCGGGACAGAGCACGGCGCACCATCACCCTGACTCAGTCACACATGGTGCACCAGGTCCTTCAGCGCTTCGGCTTCCAGTTCTCCTCGCCACAGCTCACTCCTCTGTCTACCGGCCACTTGCTCTCAACTCCACCTTTGGACGTGTCCGTAGAGCCGAGTGGTCCGTACCCAGAGCTTGTGGGTTGCCTCATGTACCTGATGACGTGCACACAACCTGACCTCACGTACCCTCTCAGCCTCCTGGCTTGCTACGTGGCTCCCGGTAGGCAGCGAAAGGTGCACTGGGATGCTGCGAAGAGGGTACTGCGTTACTTGTGCAGTACGTTGGGCATGGGGCTCGTGCTTGGAGGACGGGGTCCAGTTGTTCTCACTGGTCACGCAGACACTTCTTGGGTTGACGACCTAGCTACGCAGCGTTCGTCACAGGGTTACACATTCAGAGTCGGTTTCGGCTCTGTTTCCTGGCGGTCTACCCGCTCGTCTTCGGTTCTCATCTCGAGTTGTGAGGCTGAGATCTACGCCGGGGCCATGGCTGCACAGGAGCTACGCTTGCTCACCTACCTGCTGACTGACTTGGGAGAGCAGCCTCGTTCGCCTCCAGTTCTGTACGTTGACAACAAGGCCATGATTGCCTTGTGTCAGGAGCACACACTGGAGCACCAAACGAAGCACATCGCTCTGCGATACTTCCTTGCTCGAGAGTTGCAGCAGTGTGGCCAGCTTCGTCTTGCGTACGTGGCCACTAGGGCCAACAGTGCTGATTTATTCACCAAGGTATTTCCGCCTCGTGATCATCAGCACTTGTCTACTGTGTTAGGCCTTGTTCTTACTTTGCCTCACTTGCTCACTGCGTGACTTTACTTGTACTGTGATCTATATATATACCTGCATGCTTACACTTGTTAGGGTATGATCACTGTATTGTTTGTTCTCTTTTACATAACTTTGCATGTGAACTTGCCTTGTGGCCCTTTGCTTGTGCTCGGACTGTGTGGTGACTTTGTGATCCACCCTGAGCTTGCTTTGCTTTTCTTGACTGGTCTTGTGACCACTTGTTCTCCCCCACTTTGCCTATGGTGGTGTGTCAGAATGTTATAGTGCTTACATTTGTGTAGGCTATAGTGGGGTAGCCCATAAGGGGTACAACCCAATTAGGGTTAGTACTTGTACCGAACTCTTTCGTAGTTCATCCATTCTCGTTCGTTAGTTTGAAAAAATGACGCGAAGCCATGGACAGGAAATTAAAAGCGCAGGAAGACAGATACACCTGGAAGATAGTACCCATCGGAGTGGCACGCAACAAAACCATTCTCTCGGGAAAATGGGTCTTCCACGTGAAGACGAAAGCCGACGGAACAATTGACAAATTCAGGGCACGATGGGTCTTGCGTGGCTTCGACCAACAACACGGACGGGACTTCTTTGAAACCTTTGCGCCAGTCAGCCTACATACCTCTCTGCGAATCCTCCTCGCGATAGCCGCCATGAAGAGGAAGAAGCTCCGCCAAATCGACGTGGCTAACGCGTTTCTCTACGCTCCCGTCGACGCCGAAATCTTCGTCGAGCAACCACACGGACCCAATACAGACCCTAATCAAGTCTGTTAGATGCTGAAGTCCATGTACTGCATCAAGCAAGCTCCGTGGCTGTGGCAGCAGTACCTGCACGCCCGATTAATCCGGGTCGGCTTTCAGCAACTACCACACGACCAGGGCATGTACAGACTCACAAAGGAAGCCGAGTACATTCTGCTCATCATGTATGTAGACGACCTGCTCTACATAGGCTCCACCGACGGCATCACCAAGTGGTTTGAAGGGGAGCTGCAACAAGATCTCTCACTCACGGTTTCTTCTACCGTAACTCAGTACCTTGGACTCAACATCCTTGACGGGGAAAACGCGATCTATCTCAGCGCCGCAAAATATGCCGACACCATCGCAAAACGCTTCGTGCCCTATCGCTACACCGCGGGAAATCACCAGGAAAAATCCAATCTGCTTGGACCTGCCGGCCTACGCGACTACCAACGAAAACTGGGCCGTCTGCTCTTCGCAGCCGTCACCTGCCGACCGGATCTGTCATACTCGGCGAGCCAACTTGCCACCTACCTCAAGCGGCCCGAAGCAGAGCACATGGCAAAACTTGACCGCGCGTTACACTACCTCGTCAGCACACCAACGATCGGCCTAACCTATTATAAGATTGGATTCACTACTCCAAAGCTAATCGGCTACGTGAACGCTGACCACGCAGGCGATTCCGATAACAGGCGATCGCGCACCGGCTACATCTATCGACTCGAGCCCGTCGGTCCTATCTCGTGGCAGTCGAGCAAGCAAGAACTAATTGCTCTCTCCTCTACTAAATCTGAATACATAGCACTCTGCTTAGCCACCAAGGAAGGACTGTACCTTCGCGAACTACTGGAAGAAGCAAAGCTGGTCCAGTTACCCAACTTCTCCCTCTTCTTCGATAACCAATCTGCAATTCGCATAGCGAACAAGAGCGGGTTCGCGAACCGAACGAAGCACATTGCCCTGCGCTATTTCTTCGTGAAGGACGAGATCGAGAAATGGAGACTCGAGCTATCTTACTGCCCCACGTCCGAGATGGCAGCAGATTGCTTGACCAAGAAACTCGGAAAGCAGAAGTTCGAATACTGCATGCTGCTGACTGGACAAGGCCACGTCACCAGCAACGAAGGCGATGACACTCCAGAAGCGAAGGGGAGTGTTGGAAACATATAGTTCGCGCTTCTGATGTGTCGAACACTACAACGTATGCGAAGCGAACTACAACGAAGCAACGAGTCAACCAAAGCGGTTGACAGAAAGACAACAGTGTGTGACAAGAGGCTATTCCGAGAATGCCGATTTACAATCGCGAAAGGCTGAGCTGATACCGTCATCGCCTGGATAGTAGACAGTCTTGAATAGTAGACAGGGGTTGTCTATTATCCGGGTGTCTCTTATAAACAGGCTGGCAAGACACCTATTTGTGTGTTCGAGATAAGACATATGTGTCGTATAATCGAAACTGCAATATATTATAGTGAAACTTGAAATACAGTGTACATTTTTACCCTTGCGATGCGCGGATTCTTCCACGTGCTGACTCAGGTACTACCAAATTTGCCTCTGCAAGTATTTTCCATGACGTGGCTTCCCGAACAATGGTTGCCGAAGTGGCACCTTTGCAACATCCACACTCATTATGAGAAACTCTTTTCAAGATGTGTGAAAAAAAATCTAAGTAGTTTAAAAAATTTCCATTTATAAGACTTTTTTTCCAAGATAACCCAAAACCTCCCCAAATACAAGATAATCCAATCATTTTTTCTAGTGTACGAGATAAGACATATATGTCTATCTGGGCGATGTCGGTAAAAGGTTGGCCTGATAGGGGCCCGCAGGAATACGCTCTGAGCGTCTTGTAACGACCTGGTGTGCCTTCAGATGAGACAGTGAAGGCGGCAGGCAATGGTGGCCTGGGGTGGCCTGGGGTGGCCTGGATGTAGCAGCCGGTGGTACCGTACAAGGGGTACACTTATGAGGTGTATGCTTGTAAGGGGTATGCTTATTGTTGTTTAGCAACACAACATCCTACCAGCCAACAATAACAAGACCTTTTTTACGGTACTCGACTCAAAACTTGTTGGGCAACAGCAACACCCTACTGGCAAACATACAGACCAGCCAAAAGCATTAGTCCCTCCTCTGCCTAGTGTGCGTCTTGCCTGGGGCTTGCCTGTAGGCAACAACAACCTATTAGTGACCACCTGGACCTGCCAACAACAGAGCCCTCTCAGTCCCTTCCATTCGCTGCCTCTTCTGTGCGTCTTGCAGCGACCTCATGCCCTCAGACATGACTGTAAAGGGGGTGGTGCCTGCCCGCAGGTAAGGGGGACTTGAAGAGGTGAGCAAATCGCTGCTCCCCGCTCCAGACAACCGCTTTCAGTCCCTCCACTCGCTGCCTCTTGTGTGTGCCTTGCAACAAACCAGGTGTGGCCTACTGGCGACCACCATCACCTGCCAACACCAGACCTCCCTCCCTCCCTTCCACTCGCTGCCGCTTCTGTGCGTCTTGCAGCGACCTGACGCCCTCAGATGTGACTGTAAAGGGGGCAGTGTCCGCCCGCAGGTAGGGTGATTTAAAGAGGTGAGCGAATCGCTGTCCCCCGCTCCAGAAAAGGATCACGCGATTGGTGCACGCGTGCGCCCAGCTCTCGCCTGATTGGAGGGAGAATGGGGGGGTTGGGGGACGTGATGCATGGAGTAGCAGTGGTTCAAGCCTATTGGTGGTTCACTTCACATTGCAGAGCAAGTGCTGTGTGGGTTGCATGCTGATTGGATAACAGTGCATGTTGGCAGACGCATGGCGGCAGATGGTTTTGCAAAAAGCAATGAAAGTGAGGCAAACCGGATATGGATACACACTCACCGAGAGCGGGAACGAGCCTGGACACCTCGCCGTCCACCTTGGTCGTGACTTGATTCACCTGCTTGTCATTGGAGGCCCCATGGAAGAGAGGAGGGGAAGTGGGAGGCGAGGAGGAGAGGAGGCGAGGAGGCTGGCAGAGATTATGCAAGGAGATCACCCATGCATGGAGCATGCGAGGGCTCTCTTGGCTGCATCACGTCATCCCATGGGCGGCTCACCGCAAGGGGAGGCAGCCACGTGTAGATAGGTTATTTTTGAGACGTCTCAAAAATGACCTATCTACGCATGGGGAGGCAAACACGTTATGCTCGTCAGAAATAACGAGCCGCTCTCTTGCGATTAAAGATTCCTACGAGTTGAGAGTTTCTTGGCCTGCTTGAATTTCTGGGAAGCAATTTTGTGTTTCGTTCCTAGTTGCTTAAGCGGTTTATTATACAGGTTTTATTATACAGATTTGCTGCTAATCCACTATGAGCTTGCAGCATGCGAGGGCTCACAGCAACGTTATGCTCGTCAGCAATGGCGAGCAGCTCTCTTGCCGTGGAGGCCAGCAAGCAGGCAAAGAGGCTGACACGGTGGAGCCCTTCATGCAGGAAGAGCACTGCTGCATGCAGCGAGGAAGGAGAGCACCGGGCCACACTCACAGCCACATTGTGCTTGTCAGCCATAGCGAGCAGCTCTCTTGCCATGGATGGAGGCCAGCAGGCGCAGAGGTAAGTCAATGATGCACACACACGCACAAGTCATGCAACAAGGAGATAATTTATGCATGCATGCACCGAGCCACACTCACAGCCACGTTGTGCTCGTCCGCAATCGCGAGCAGCTCTCGCGCGATGGAGGCCAGGAGACGTGAGCGCAGACCCATGTCTGTGAAGCCGTGGCGGAAGTGGAATGTGACACTGTCGATCACCACTAGCTTGACCTGCAGTGTGGGTGATGTGGAAGGGAGTGGAAGGGAAAGGAATGGCAGTAGGGAAAAGGAAAACAGGTGAGCGCATACCCATGTTCGTGAAGCCATGGCGGAAATGGAATGTGACGCTGTTGATAACCACTAGCTTGACCTGGAGCAGTATGGTGTGATGCAAGGGAGAAACGGAGCAGGCCCAAGCCAGTGAAGCCAGGGAAAAGAAGGGCAACAGGGAAAAGGAAAACAGGTGAGCGCAGACCCTTGTGGGTGAATCCGTGGCGGAAGCGGAAGGTGACACTGTCGATAATAACCACCAGCTTGACCTGCCGGAGGATGTGGTGCACGACTTGTCAAGAATCGACAGGTGGGCTGCAAAGGCCTTCCTTCCATCAAGTGAGGTAGTTATGTGCGTTCAAAACAACGAAACGAAGCCCATGATAATGATGGAGCAGGGTAGCCCGATTAAAAAGTGCCTCTGTTTTAGGTAACCAGTTTTGAAGCTCTGTAAATCAAATTCAGAATAGCAAAACGCAGAAAGGTGAAAAGAGAACTAAAGGGGTGTTCCGAGAACTGAACTCGGGACCTCTCGCACCCTAAGCGAGAATCATGCCACTAGACCAAACACCCACGTACTACGAGTTGGTGTGTGGTAACCTGACAACGACAGAGGTGAACATGCCATTGTGCTGCTATTAATAAACATGCCACCGACACACAGCACTCCTGCCCAGTGATACCCATGCCAGCCCTGCACGCACCTTGGGGTGCAGAGCGAGCAGGTGAGGCAGCGAATGGACAAGAGCAGTCTGCTCCGTGTGGTCATACACTCGCAACCGCCCGCTGCCAGCGCTGCTGTGCTGATACCCAAGCCACCCACACACAACCCACCACACACACCACGCGTGCCACCCATCCCAACTTGGGGTGCAGGGCGAGCAAGTGAGGCAGGGAATGGACGAGTGCTGTCTGCTCCGTGTGATCATTTACTCACAGGTAATGCACCCCTGCTAGCGCTGCTACTGCCAATGCCACCCCACACATGCCCAACCACTACGTACCTTGGGGTGCAGAGCAAGCAGGTGCGGCAGGGAGTGCACGAGAGCAGTCTGCTCCGTGTGATCATACACCCGCAGGTAATGCACCCCTGCGAGCGCTACTGCTGCCAGTGCCACCCACACACACAAGTGGCAGCCTATCACACACCTTGGGGTGCAAGGCCAGAAGATGAGGCAGCGAGTGCACGAGAGCAGTCTGCTCCGTGTGATCATACACTCGCAGGTAGTGCACCCCTGCCAGCGCTGCTGCTCTAGACGCCTTTGATGCCACTGCTGCTGACACTGGCCCCGGTGCATTCGGAAACATGTGTTGCTGCTGCTGAGACCGGTTATGTGACTGTCCGTGTTGCTGAAACTGCTGCTGTGAGTGCTGCTGGTGTTGGTGGTGTTGGGATTGCTGGTGGATAAAGGCTTGATTGGGGGCGGTGGTATCTGGGGCAGGTGCATCTATGGCAGCGGCAGCAGCAGTGCAGTGAGCGGCCCATGCGTCGGCCATCTCTGCTGCCCACTCCACCATGAAGCTCCCTTCTGTGTCTGTTGGGAAAACAGGAGGATGGGAACGTTCAAGGTGTGAGTGGGGGTCTAGTCTGCATGCAGGGCAGCGAGAATCTGCAGTGGAGTTGACTTTTGAGTCGACTCAGTTGGAGGATGGGAACGTTCAAGGTGTGAGAGGGTGTTTTGTGTGCATGCAGGACAGATTGTAGCAGCAGTGGAGCGTGGGGCAGAGGCAGCTGCAAGGCGCAACAGCCATGGATGCATCGGCCACCTCTGCTGCTCGCTCCACCATGAAGCTCCCTTCGGTGTCTGGTGGGCATCTGGTGGGCAGATTGAGTGGGATGGTGAGGGTAGAGGAAGGGCGAGTCTCACTCACCAATGTACCGCCTCCCCCTCCACCCCTCCCAGCACAGCAGGCGCCTTTTGATCCGTGTTAGTGAGGGGAAGAATAGAGGTGAGATGAGGTGAGGAGATGAGGGGATCACGTGGAGTGACGTTTCACCACTCATCTATGTACACAGCCTCCCCCTCCATCCCTCCCAGCACAGCAGTCGCCTTTTGATCCGTGTTAGTGAGGGGAAGAATAGAGGTGAGATGAGGTGAGGAGATGAGGGGATCACGTGGAGTGACGTTTCACCACTCATCTATGTACAAAGCCTCCCCCTCCACCCCTCCCAGCACAGCAGGCGCCTTTTGATCCGTGTTAGTGAGGGGAAGAATAGAGGTGAGATGAGGTGAGGAGATGAGGGGATCACGTGGAGTGACGTTTCACCACTCATCTATGTACACAGCCTCCCCCTCCATCCCTCCCAGCACAGCAGGCGCCTTTTGATCCGTGTTAGTGAGGGGAAGAATAGAGGTGAGATGAGGTGAGGAGATGAGGGGATCACGTGGAGTGACGTTTCACCACTCATCTATGTACACAGCCTCCCCCTCCACCCCTCCCAGCACAGCAGGCGCCTTTTGATCCGTGTTAGTGAGGGGAAGAATAGAGGTGAGATGAGGTGAGGAGATGAGGGGATCACGTGGAGTGACGTTTCACCACTCATCTATGTACACAGCCTCCCCCTCCATCCCTCCCAGCACAGCAGGCGCCTTTTGATCCGTGTTAGTGAGGGGAAGAATAGAGGTGAGATGAGGTGAGGAGATGAGGGGATCACGTGGAGTGACGTTTCACCACTCATCTATGTACACAGCCTCCCCCTCCATCCCTCCCAGCACAGCAGGCGCCTTTTGATCCGTGTTAGTGAGGGGAAGAATAGAGGTGAGATGAGGTGAGGAGATGAGGGGATCACATGGAGTGACGTTTCACCACTCATCCATGTACACAGGCTCCCCCTCCATCCGTCCCAGCACAGCAGGCGCCTTTTTATCCGTGTTAGTGAGGGGAAGAATAGAGGTGAGATGAGGTGAGGAGATGAGGGGATCACGTGGAGTGACGTTTCACCACTCATCTATCTATGTACACAGGCTCCCCCTCCATCCCTCCCAGCACAGCAGTCGCCTCTTGATCCGTGTTAGTGAGGGGAAGAATAGAGGTGAGATGAGGTGAGGAGATGAGGGGATCACGTGGAGTGACGTTTCACCACTCATCTATCTATGTACACAGCCTCCCCCTCCATCCCTCCCAGCACAGCAGGCGCATTTTGATCCGTGTTAGTGAGGGGAAGAATAGAGGTGAGATGAGGTGAGGAGATGAGGGGATCACGTGGAGTGACGTTTCACCACTCATCTATGTACACAGGCTCCCCCTCCATCCCTCCCAGCACAGCAGGCGCCTTTTGATCCGTGTTAGTGAGGGGAAGAATAGAGGTGAGATGAGGTGAGGAGATGAGGGGATCACGTGGAGTGATGTTTCACCACTCATCTATGTACACAGCCTCCCCCTCCATCCCTCCCAGCACAGCGGACGCCTTTTGATCCGTGTTAGTGAGGGGAAGAATAGAGGTGAGATGAGGTGAGGAGATGAGGGGATCACGTGGAGTGACGTTTCACCACTCATCTATGTACACAGCCTCCCCCTCCATCCCTCCCAGTACAGCACGCGCCTTTTGATCCGTGTTAGTGAGGGGAAGAATAGAGGTGAGATGAGGTGAGGAGATGAGGGGATCACGTGGAGTGACGTTTCACCACTCATCTATGAACACAGCCTCCCCCTCCATCCCTCCCAGTATAGCACGCGCCTTTTGATCCGTGTTAGTGAGGGGAAGAATAGAGGTGAGATGAGGTGAGGAGATGAGGGGATCACGTGGAGTGACGTTTCACCACTCATCTATCTATGTACACAGTCTCCCCCTCCACCCCTCCCAGCACAGCAGGCGCCTTTTGATCCGTGTTAGTGAGGGGAAGAATAGAGGTGAGATGAGGTGAGGAGATGAGGGGATCACGTGGAGTGACGTTTCACCACTCATCTATCTATGAACACAGCCTCCCCCTCCATCCCTCCAAGCACAGCACGCGTGTGCACGTTGATAGCCAGCTAGCTGCATGCTGCTTTGACTGAAATGTTTTGAGACGTCTCAAAGCTAGCTGCATGCTGCTTTGACTGAAATGTTTTGAGACGTCTCAAAGCTAGCTGCATGCTGCTTTGACTGAAATGTCATGCAGATCGATTGAGATGGTGAGGGAAGAGGGAGGGCGAGTCTCACCGATGTAGACTGCTTCGCCTTCCACCCCTCCCAGCACACCAGGCGTTTGCACGTTGATGGCCAGCTGCATGCTGCCAGGGAGACACAACACAAGCAGCAACACACCAAGAGAAATATCAGAGCCAGGACCAAAAGGGGCGAATTCTTTCGTCAACTCCAAGTCACCTTGCTGCCAGGGAGACACAGCACCAGCACCAGAATCACAGCGCAAACACCAGATCAGCCTCATCCCATCCCATCCCATCCCATCCCATCCCATCCCATCCCATCCCATCCCATCCCATCCCATCCCATCCCATCCCAACCCAATCCAACCCAGCCTTACCCCAGCTGTGTCTTGCCAACTCCTGGCGGCCCACCTGGACAGAGGAGACGAGGAGAAACGGCACGAAAGGAGCTGATCAACACTTGCCAAGACTTGATTCGATCTCTCAGTGACCTTTACAAATCATTTGACGACCTCTTCATTCATGTTGCTGGAAAGAGAAAAAAGAGATCACAGATCACACACCACAGATCACACACCACAGATCACACACCACAGATCACACACCACAGATCACACACCACAGATCACACACCACAGTGCACACTACGACGCCTTGCACCGTCTCACCGCACCCCACTCACATATCTCGGTGAGTTCTTGCAGAGCCACCCCTCCTCCCAGCATGTCATCCAGCTCAGCACACATCGTCTGCACCCTGCCTCTGCCCCTCTCTGCCTCTAATAGTTCCCATGCTGATCGCGCACCTGCATGCAGAGCGGGAGGAGGGCATGAGTGCATGAGTGCATAATCGCATGCATGCATGCATGAGTGCATGAGAGAGTCGCACTGTGCAGCACGCACACATCCTGTTTTCTGTGCTCTGTGGCGCACTGACAGGGAAGCACACACATCACATGCACTGAACCCTGCCCCTGCCCCTATCTGCCTCCAAGAGCTCCCACGCGGATTGCGCACCTGCACGCACGCTTACAACACAAACACATGCAGGCTTACATGCACGCTTACATGCACGCTTACATGCACGCTTACATGCTCCCCGCCCAGCATATGCTTCGAGTCCTCCAGAGAGAGAGAGGGGGCGGGATGCCTTGCACAGTGGGAGCATCGGAATAACTTGCAAGCACGCTGAGGCGTGCACGCACTGGCTCTGTTGCCACAACACATAACTCGCACTGGCTCTGCTGCCACAACACATAACTTGCACTGGCTCTGCTGCCACAACACATAACTCGCACTGGTTCTGCTGCCACAACACATAACTCGCACTGGCTCTGCTGCCACAACACATAACTCGCACTGGCTCTGCTGCCACAACGCATAACTCGCACTGGCTCTGCTGCCACAACACATAACTCGCACTGGCTCTGCTGCCACAACGCATAACTCGCACTGGCTCTGCTGCCACAACGCATAACTCGCACTGGCTCTGCTGCCACAACACATAACTCGCACTGGCTCTGCTGCCACAACACATAACTCGCACTGGCTCTGCTGCCACAACACATAACTCGCACTGGCTCTGCTGCCACAACACATAACTCGCACTGGCTCTGCTGCCACAACGCATAACTCGCACTGGCTCTGCTGCCACAACGCATAACTCGCACTGGCTCTGCTGCCACAACACATAACTCGCACTGGCTCTGCTGCCACAACACATAACTCGCACTGGCTCTGCTGCCACAACACATAACTCGCACTGGCTCTGCTGCCACAACACATAACTCGCATTGGCTCTGCTGCCACAACACATAACTCGCACTGGCTCTGCTGCCACAACACATAACTCGCACTGGCTCTGCTGCCACAACACATAACTCGCATTGGCTCTGCTGCCACAACACATAACTCGCACTGGTTCTGCTGCCACAACACATAACTCGCACTGGCTCTGCTGCCACAACGCATAACTCGCACTGGCTCTGCTGCCACAACGCATAACTCGCACTGGCTCTGCTGCCACAACGCATAACTCGCATTGGCTCTGCTGCCACAACACATAACTCGCACTGGTTCTGCTGCCACAACACATAACTCGCACTGGCTCTGCTGCCACAACG